CAGAACAATACTAAACACACCACTTTCTATCTGGTGGCACATTAGCTTGACCGCCGCAGTGCCCCAAATTTGAATTAAGAGACCCAAGCATCTTCTTCCATCTCCCTGTTACAGAAATCACCGCTATATCCATACAAATTGTACAGAATGTCCAGGATAGTTTTCCAGGGACAAATGTTGTCGTCCGTTGAACGAGGTGACCTTGCTCGGGTCCCAGGTGTACGGTTCCTAAAATGGCTGCCATATACACGTCCACTGATAGGAGACGCGGAAGGTATTAAACTGATCAGAACAATACTAAACACACCACAAATAAGGTTTCTCTCCTGTATGGCTCCTCAAATGATGCTTAAGATTAGAAGCGCTGAAAAGTTACTTTCACACAGGTATTAAACTGATAAAAATAGTACTAAACACTCCACTCCTATCTGGTAGTCACATTAGCTTGAATCGCGCAGTGCCCCAAATTTGCAGTAAGAGGACCGACCAAGCCTCTTCTTCCATCTCCCTGTTACAAAAAATCAATGCTGTACACGTAATTTCACTGATAGGAGACGCGGAAGGTATTAAACTGATCAGAACAATACTAAACACACCACCTCTATCTGGTGTCACATTAGCTTGACCGCCAAGAGTGCCCCAAATTTGCAGTAAGAGGACCTACTGCCTCTCTTCCATCTCCCCTGTTACAAAATCAATGCCGCAGGCCACTCCACTCAATTTGATAGGAGACGTGCCGAAGGTATTAAACTGATCAGAACAATACTAAAACACACCACTCCTATCTGGTGGCACATTAGCTTGACCGCGCAGTGCCCCAAATTTGAATTAAGAGGACCGACCAAGCCTCTTCTTCCATCCCCCTGTTACAGAAATCACTGCCATATCCATACAAATTGTACAGAATGTCCAGGATAGTTTTCCATGGACAAATGTTGTCGCCTGTTGAACGAGGTGACCTTGCTCGGGTCCCAGGTGTACGGTTCCTAAATGGCTGCCATATACACGTCCACTGATAGGAGACGCGGAAGGTATTAAACTGATCAGAACAATACTAAACACACCACTAATAAGGTTTCTCTCCTGTATGGCTCCTCAAATGATGCTTAAGATTAGAAGCGGCTGAAAAGCATTTCTCACACTCCGAACAAAAATATTTTTTTTTAACATTCTCTCCACTTTGAACGAAATGACGTTTGGGAAGAGATTAACATAATTAAACACAGGCAGTAAAAATACAGTTTTTAGCCATACCCTGTAACTTTTAAACTACACATCCCATCTTCATAATTACATATTTGGAATCAGCACACTTAAAACATAAACATAACCAAAAATCAGCCAAATCCATCCAGGGGTTAAAAAGTTAGCTGGAGGTCCCTTTTATGACCGACCGCAAGCACATTTTCCTGCCCAAAACAGTTCCATAGATTTGGGCTGTGAGGTCGGTCTATTTCAGGCTGAAAAAACGACTAAGTCCCATCGCGAATGGGACTTAGTCTCTGTAGCTGAAATAAGGCTGAAAAAAACAGCTGAAAAGACACTCAAGTCCCACGCCGAATGGGACTTAGTCTCTGCAGCTAGAAATAAGGCTGAAAAAACGGTTGAAAAGACTAAGTCCCATCGCTGAATGGGACTTAGTCTCTGCAGGCTGAAATAATTTCCATTTACTGAACCAAGTGGAAAGGCAAGGCAGGAAATGAAAAGGGTTTGCACCAGGTCTGGGACACAGGGGACACGTTTTAAAGGCCGTGTGGTCCCCAACAAGTCTGGGACACGGCCTTAAAGGGGCAGTGTCCCAATCTTCCTGATGTCCCAAAAAAGGTGTTTAAAGGGCCAGCACCAGTCACATAAAGAGTCCATAAGCCCCAATATGCCCACCGACAGTCTTAAAGGCCACCAAATAAAAGTGCATACATTTTCACAATCTCCCAGGGGCCATAGTCATGCGGGAGGAGGCTGGCAAATAGGCTTCTCCACAACCCAGGGAAGCAGGGCAATTTGCCATTTAAAGGGCCCGTTACAAATAGCAGTTTGTAACAAGGTGTCAATCCATATCTGCCAAGTGACCCTATGTAGGAGGAACAGTCTCTATTCTGCTCTGTGTCAGTGTGTATCAGGGTCTCTGAGGACAGGTGTCAATCCATATATCAAGGTGTCAATATGTCATATGTCAGGTGTCAATCCATATCCATTGTGATTTAGGAATGTTAGGTGATTTATGCCCTTTATGGATTAAGAGCAGACTCTGCATCAACTGTGTAATTTTCCATGGGAGTTTTGCCATGGATCCCCCTCCGGCATGCCACAGTCCAGGTGTTAGTCCCCTTGAAACAACTTTTCCATCACTATTGTGGCCAGAAAGAGTCCCTGTGTGTTTAAAATTCGCCTGCCCATTGAAGTCTATGGCGTTGGCGCAGCCCCCTCATTGCTCACAACATTTATGAAGTTCAAGGCTGCCGTCATGCTTCGAACCGAAAATTTCGGGTTCGCGACATCACTAGTCCTTACCAAGTGCTGCTAATCACGGCTACCTCAGTAAAGCTGGCCAGAAAAAGTTCATGGATACACGCCTCGCATTGCAAGAAAGTGCCTGCTCCAGAAGAAGCTGTCCCTACTGAGCCATGGATTCATTGTGTTTCTTATGTTTTCTTTTGCTACTAAACTTTACAGGGGCCCAGCAGGTGGCCATAACCAAAGATAACCATGTTTACACTTTCTGGTACAATTCTTCTAACACAGATGTAGCTACTTTTACCTTTGATTTTTGTGATATTGTTGTTTGCACTTTTCCACAAACACAACATGCTGTTATACATATAAATACAAAGACATACCTGACGAAAAAGACCCATACATCTGTGTGGCAGGGGGTGCATGGGGACATTCCTGTAGTTCTTGGAAAGCAGCCGGGTGGAACACAGGTAGATCAGGGGGATATAGACCTCAGAATGCCTTAGACAGAATTGACAAAGATGGGAAATCACTACTCTCTAGAATGACCTTAAGTCAACCCCAATCAAACTTACCCTAAACACAGAACGCCCCAGTCCAGGAGATGCAGAAGAGTATGTAATGGGCATGTACTGGAAGGGCAGTGACTCATATAACAAGTTGGGGACATTCTACCTGCAAGACATGCTTAACTCATCTGACTGGGTAGGAACTACACATATGACTATTAACCCACTAAAACCTCACATCAAGACTTTACATGACATGGTTAAGCCTTTATGCACAATCCACCACTAACTCTTCAATGTGTGAATCATGGAAGAAGGTCTACCCGATTACCCAGGGACACGTTAGACCACCTAAAGGAGTCACGGTATACCCAGGTAATTACACTTGCTACACAATACCTAAAAAACACGGGTACATTTGTGGGTAAATTCCCATCTGGTTATTGTTCCACCTACCATAGTCCCCCCACAGCATTGTTAACGAATCATGCAAAACCAGTTGGGAATATTTATTGGCTTGTGGTGATAAGCAACTGAGATCCCAGCTAACAGGGTTGTGGTGGGGGGAGTGCACACTGACCAAGGCCATCATGCTTATCCATATTATCCCGGATGGCCATCATAATACATTTGATCTCACACACACTCCAGAGTCAAAAGGGAAGCCCCAATCTGTGGTAGCTTTGATCCACATGTTTATATTGATGCCATTGGTGTGCCAAGGGGGGTACCCAACGAATTTAAAGCTAGGGATGAGGTTGCCGCTGGCTTTGAATCCCTGATTCCATTAATCACTGTCAATAAGAATGTTAATTGGATTAATTATATCTATTACAACCAACAGCGGTTTGTTAACTATACTAGAGATGCCCTACAGGGCCTAGCAGAACAACTGCAAGCTACCACCCAAATGACATTTCAAAATAGAATGGCTCTGAATATGATTCTAGCAGAAAAGGGGGGCGTATGTAAAATCCTCCCCGAGACTATGATCTGCTGCACATTTATTCCAGATAATACTGGACCCAATGGAAAAGTAACTTTGGCCATAGAAAAACTGGACAGCCTTTCAGATGAACTAAAACGCAACTCAGGGGTCACTAACGTGTGGGATAGGTGGTTTGGATGGATGAATGGTTGGCAGAGAACCCTATTCCAGGTTGGGACAGCAGTCCTTATAGTGTTTATCATTTTTCTAATCCTAACTTGTTGTGTACTACCTTGCATACAAAAGTATTTACAGAAGACAGTAGGGAAGACTATAGACAACGTAACCCCTACTTTACTACGCTAAGACGTCACTGACCTAGAATGTGACACACCACATACACCCCTCCAATCCCACCAATTCAGACAGACAACTGCATTTTCATAGGGATAGCATAGGGAAAGCGTCTGTCTCTACAGGCGAGTCTCACGTGTGGAGATGTGGTGGACTAGCCGCTGCGGGTTACCCACGGAGTGAAGTGTTCGATGCTTGTTAAGACAGATGAGCTGCAGGCAGCTAGGGACATATTAGGGACAGTAGCAGTTGTTATGGTAAATAGTCATTTTAAGGGGGGACTGTTGTGGAAATGAAATATTGACATATTTTTAGCTAGTAAAATGTCTATTTACTCCATTTAGTTATACTCAATAAATTACTAAACTGACCACTAGATGTCACTCAGGAGTACCCCACCCATCGACCAAACACTCTAATTTTCAAGATGGCGCTGGAATCCGGGGGGAGAACTTCATGACGACAGTAATGACATAAGAAGGCACACCCAGTAGGACGTGCTTTGAATAAAACACTTAACACTTAACCAATTATTGATGTATTATTTCATGTTATCTCTGACAATGCTTATGATGTAATTTTGCTTTAAAAGGGACCTGCCGTCCCCTCTGAATAAACTTTCCTCAAGTTATTCAACAACCTGGAACCTGTGTCTGGTGTGAATTACTTCAGGGAGCGTGCACGCATTGTTTTATTAATTTGGCCAGGGGCAGATACACAAAGAAATAATCAATTCATTGATTGATTTTTCCATTTCACGGACACTTACTGAACACTCGGAGATCGTACTGTTGGTCACACGGTTTGTTTCCTGTGTCTGTGCGTATTGTCGCTCTGTATTCTCCCTGGTCTTCTCTGGTTAGTTTAGTAAAGTGTAAAGACCCATCAGCCGTTCCATACAGTCTGCCTTCATATCGGTTATCTCGAATGTCTATATCTCCTCCTGGTTTTGTTGTAGCAAAATGGATCCCACCATTAACAGTCACCCAACTTCCGTCTTTAATCCTAGTCTTATTCACAGGAAGAACGGCATCTTCTCCCACAGCGCCAATAACTGTCCTCTTATCTCCACATGACTTTACACACCCTACACACAATATACCTAGGAAACAAAGTAACAGTTTGATTTAAATAGTTGGATATCTTATAAGTACATGGTTTTATCTGCAAATACTAATCAATCCACATGAAAACATCAAAGAATTAAAAAATGAGAGCGTATTTTTTTTTTTCTTTAAGTTTTTGCAAATACTAAGAGAAAAGCGTACAGGAGTTAAACATGGCGCATGTTTCAATAGGGTTAAACCAGTGAGAAAAAAAGAATATATCATAAGGTAAGACAGTAGCAGTGTATATTCTATTGATGGTAATATCCTCCAACTGGAATTTATACACAGGTTCGGTAGCATTAGTAACCATTGCTTCTGATTACTAGAACCCTTATCAGCTCACAGTGAGTTTGGGTAAAACATTAAAGATTGAGGAGGGATCTTCCCTGGCTAAATCCAAAACTGCATAGCTGGTAGTGTGTCCTTAGCCTTTATCCCAGCATGACAATCAGGGAGAGCAGATACATGTATGTAAGTCTGGGTTCCATGTCACAAGTGATTTCTCTGCGTTCTCAATGTTAAACCTGATGGACTTTAGTTTTTAGTTTCTACGTAACTATGTTATAATTTGGTTGTGGGTTTAAAGCTGTTATGAGACATTCATTGGGTCACTTTGTGCATTGTTGGTTTAGTCTGTGGCTTCTAATCTTAGTGAAATTATTACTGAATATATGTTTTGTTCCCCAAATGTTATAAATGCAGTTGCTAAAGCCTCACACTGCCTGCCCAGAGTTTTTTCTCAAAGTCTCATTGGAGTTAATCCACTAATGTTAATTAAATAATCATTGATAATGTCCTGTGACCTAATGGAGAGACACTATATCCAACATATCAAATACAGAATGTGAACTTACTTTCTGGAAGGAAGATGAATATTAAGATCCAGATGTGAATATAGACCATTTCTTCTCTATCGTTGAGCTGTCAGTCTATAAATGGAGCAGAGCTCTGTCCCTTCCTGTTTCTATATAAGAACATCCCCTTTACATCACAAATACCGTGACTGTGTGATATCTTTGTAGGAAATTCGAAGATTTAAAAAAGAAACGTTTTGAACATAATATGTCGTCTGCGTCCACCCACTCACTACTAAATCCTTCTTGTTTTTATAATATTAACATATATTAGAAACATACTTATCTCTCTTCAACCTTTCATTATACAATAATATGAATTTACAGAATATTAGTTCATAATTTATATAATGTAAGCTGCCCCCCCTTTATTTCGGTGCCTGTAAGAGAAGTTTGCAGAGAGATTTGCCAGCTAACCTCTAACCCAGAGACTCTGGGCCCCCTGTAAAGGACATTCCCCTCCAGCCCAAATTACAGGGACTGGTGAGGGTCATGAAGAGTTAATAAACATAAAATCACCGGACGTGTTTATGTGCCTGTAAAGTGTTAACCCATACTGACACTATGGTACAGACACTGGAAATTGGGACTTTAAGGGTTACTTTATTTCGGTGCCTGTAAGAGAAGTTTGCAGAGAGATTTGCCAGCTAACCTCTAACCCAGAGACTCTGGGCCCCCTGTAAAGGACATGTGGGGAATCGCGATGCATCCTAGCACAAATCTAAACCCATTTACCCCCCCAATAACGACAGAACACTTAGTATGGATGAACAGGCCACAGCATTTATTATCACAAACTAAATTACTGCATAACACATCCATAACTTTATTTATTAAATCTCTTCTTTCTGTAACCAAAACGTTAGACATAAATAAGCATAAATTAACATATATACATATATAACTCCACCCATAGTGTTATACAGTGACCCAACCGTCCTTGCCAATTAACATACAGCGGTTCCTAATCACCACTTCCTCTCACCTCCCACCCCCCCGGCCTAAAAATTATATATTTCCAATGCCCGCCATCAGCCGACCTTATCCACGCTCGATGGGCACGACACCTCAGGCAACCTAATGTTTAACATTTTGAAGCAGGGGAGGTTGAGACCTAAAAAAACTTGTTCATCTCATTCCATATACTTAAACGTAACCACTCAAACTCAATTGGCAAGGACATACCCCCGCCACAACCCCGCTGTTTTACACCTAAAATCAGCAGGGGACCCCACCATAACCAGCCATGGCCTGTTCCACCACTTTTTGCAGCGCTAGATTAACATAGGCCTAGTCCGACCTCCAGCAAGCGCACCCATCCCCTCGAGATAACCAGGCCACATCCGGCCTAACCCTAAAGGCGAACCGGAAATCCCCCAAGACCCCACAACAAACCTAGAAACCCATCTAGTCCGATTTCGACGGCAGCGCACCAGGGCACTCACATTGCTGAGCGCACTGCCAACAGGAACGGGCGATAGCCTCAGGCCAGCCCCTGAGAACCTCTGGGAAGACACAGAATGTGTAACATGACCAGATAGAAGAGCACCCAAATCCCAAACCGTAACCGAACCCAGGTCATTCCACCCAGAGATGACAAAAACCCCTGGTACCCCCAGGAGGAGGGACAGCTGACCCCGTACAAGGAGGAGCCACACCCCCATCATGTATCTGGTGCCAGACCACCGAACCTCCGATCCCAAAGGCGTAAGATCCAACCACTCCCCCCCGCCTCCTGGCCCAAATTACATGAGCATCCCACCATCCCTATTCCGGGGGCTGGGAGGGGGGAGACCGTAACCGCGGAGAGAAATTCATTCGGAGACCGGCAGGGTGAATATAAGGAACCAATCATTCGAGCCCTCTGAACCATTGGCGCAGACACGCTGAGCCTGGCGGCGTCTGTAGCCGCCCCTAACCGGAATGAATGCCCCTTGAACTCCCCACCATCCTTATCCAGGAATTTGAGCCCCTAGTGGAATACCCCCACAAAATGGACGTAGGAGAGAAAACCCGTCTCAGAGAACCAAACAGGGGGTGAGTAAGCCAAATAATCCGGGGGACGGAATAGCACTCACCTAAGGAAAACAGGACAAATGACGGAACCCAGCACCGCCCCTGATCAGAACGGCATAATCCAAACTATCCTGGGAACCAAGTACATCATGTTAGGAGCCTAACTATTACCCTGTGCACTCCATCTACCTCAGGAAAATGCGGAAGGGCCAGGTTATGTCAACGCCGCAACGTCCAAGAAATGAACAGATTCCATTAATGAATCAGCCAACCGCTACCAACCCCCCCGTCCCCAAAGTCTACAGCCTGTCGAGCGGTGAAACCTGAAGGAAGTCCATTCCGATGCACACTCAAACCCCCAAAATCCCCCCACCTGCAGACGACCGAATATGAACGGGAAGCCGAGCCCTGCAAATCAAAGAACTCACTAAGGAGCCCCCAATGCCCCTAAGGGACGGAACAAAACATGTAGACGAGCAGTCCAATCCCGGAGCCCCCCAAGGAAATGCTCCTATCTGGCCTGAGCACTCACACCTTCCTGTAGCGGGTCCCACTCCGCCTCAAAGACCGACACACAGACCAGCTTCATCAGTCCGCTAGAGCAAGCGACAACATCTCCACTGCCCTATATTTGGCCCCGCGGAGCCCCCACTCGAAGTATGTCCCACAGCGAACAATATAAAGCATCGGCCACTACATTGTGAAACCCCTGGGATAACCTCCAGCTAACCAGACACTTCCCAGACTCAAACGGCGCCGCAACCAGAGCACCACCGGGATGGAGGACCCGTCACGTGATAGACAGCCTGCACCACCCCAAGATTGTCGCAACGGAAGAACTACCCATCAGCTCATGAGTAGGGAACCCCACACCTACCATGCCCCCAGAATGGGGAAGAGCTCCAAGACAGCCAGAGGCTGCAAGAGCCCCGATGCTTGCCAGCTTACTGGGCAAGAGTCAGCACACCATGGAGAGCCCAAAATGGCCCCAAATCTGCCGCAGCGGTAAATAGGCAGAAGTCAGTGGAAGGGACCTACGGGGCCTGTCAGCACAAGCTACCAGTCAGGGGAAACCAACGTTCCCCTGCCCTGGAATCAATCCCACTATACAGGAAACTAGGGCCCGTATCCCGACCCACGGTTGCGTCCTGGGCCACGGAACTCCGAAACACTACCCCAAGAAAACGCCGCAGCAGCAGAGCGCGGACGTGTGACCCTGACGGCCACACACAGAAGCGACAATGGGAGCAACCCTTGTGGAGGCACATAGCCACTCAACACCGACCGTCAGAAAATACAGCCTGGATAACAATAACCTGCCGGGCGCATCGGCAGCCGCCGGGCAGCCGATTCCACAGTTGCCACCATCAGCAAGGCCCCCGGGCCCCGCAGCCCTAACCCTCAGACTGCTGCATCATGCCACAACACCCCATACCTAACCCCTCGTAGGGAATGACAAATGAGTAAATAAGGAATCAGGTGAAATCGCCCCCCCCGCTCCTCCATGGGCCCCATCCAAGGGGGGGTTGGGAGACACCATAAACATTCGGGAGGTAAGCTTATCAAGCTTCTTGGTAAGCCGCTCCCGCACCACCCGATGGAATTCTCATATGGACCGTAGAGGCCTGCATGTAGAGCACCCATGTCCCTTATCCTGACAGATCGCCTGCATGAAAACATGGGGAGATGGGATGGGCAACCCGAGCCCTCGTGCTAGAACGACACGAGGCCACTAACCATGACTGTCGGTGAATTTCCAACCACCGCCTAGCCTCTGGCTGGGGGGCCAGTGAAAGGGAGGGTGTTCCCCCACCGCTGCAAAATGATGACAACGTGCCGTGCTGAGGCGCCGGGCGAAACATAAGGAAAACCATCTGGTCCCAGGCCAGAAAGGGTCGCACGTCTACCGTGGACGAAAGTGCAAGACGTACCTCCACCAACCCAGCTCACCCTAGGGACGACACGCGTCCCAGAGAGTGTCCTGACAGCAGAACAACGCGAGCATTCTCGGGGAGCCCTCCCCCGACAATGCTACCCATAATCTTCGATGCCCGGACACAATTCCTGTGTGTCATGGGATGTATCCGAGTACTTTTAAAAAAAAAATTTTTATTATATATATATAAATATATATATATCCCTCACCCAAGGGACCCTCAGTGGCAGAAGGGAATCCATCGCCAATAAAACCTTCCCCAATCTGCTCCCTAGTATTTCGTTACAAGCGCCAGCCAAGGAGGGAAAAGAAACTGGGGGGGCCCTTCACACAGCCCCGCCGTCCCACGAGCCACGGGGGGATTAGAAACGGCCGCCAGCCGTCGGTAACATGCAGGCCGCCTTCCACTGCCCCGGCCGTTGTTGCAGGCCGGGTAGGCCGCGCTTCCGCGCGCAGCCCATGAAGGCCGCGGATCCTCAGGAAAGTCAACCGGGCCCGGGGAGGAGTG